CATTGAGTTTCCCGTCTATTAACACTTCCCTAAACTATGCGTGTAAGATACAAAACCATTAAAATTCAAATATCATTACAATTTATGTCCCTTTAGTGGAGTTTGTACTAAAAATTATATTTTTATTTTAACAGACGTATTAATGATATAACATGTCACTATTTTTTTATTGACCGTTCCTCCTAAATTTTAAGTAACTTGATACATTACCAACAAATAAAATATTATAAAATAGGATGATACTCCACACTATCCCCCTCTTAAAAAAAAAATAAAATATTATTTAAAATGTACACTCTTGGTATTGCTGACTACCGTTGAAAATTTTGTATATCCACTACACAAAATCAAAGTATGTGATCCACTATCTTCTATCACCAATTCATTAGTCATGAAAGCGGGTTTTAGTCTGTCTCTTGATACTGTCTTTCGTTTATTTTTAATTAATATTTCAAACGTTTTATTTGTCTGTTTTAAAACTAAATAAGGTTCGGTAGAAGATCTTTGTAACGATAGTCTAATTTTGTCAAATCTTAAATACACATGGGAGCATTTATCTAGCTCAGAATTTCTGAAAATATTTTTTGTGCTATGCCAGTGTCTTTGTTGATCGTATGTTATCGAAAAATGTATTCATTTCTTTTTTGATTTGTAATAGTTTTAGGTTTTTCAAAAATTTCACCAGGTATCCTAAGCGATGTTCCAAAAGTTAATTCGGCTGGTGTTGCACCAATGTCCTCTCTGAAAGCATTGCGTAACCCGGACACCATTTAATTCGTGGATCCAGAGTTCCCTAAATGTAACGTTCATTTTTGACCCCACGAATTAATAAAATTGTTTTGGCTTACCTGGTTAATCATACGAAAAAAAAGGGTAAAATCGTATTGATGATATCACTATTATTTTTGTCATTAACTAATTTCACCTGTATCCTAACTTTCGGACATCATTATTACAATGTATTTCATCTCACCACTAAGTAAAAGGATGGCAGTTCTCCTAAAAATAGATCAAGTTTCGTTGTAAATTTATATATATTATGTATTATAGTCTCACCTTGGGTAATTAATTATTTACGATACCATTCTTTAAGAATTTCATTGCTTATTTTTATTATTAGGTTAATATTTTTTAATTGTGACAGTGAATGACATAAACGTCACTGGACGACAGAACACCGACAAGTGTCATGTTTGTAGTACGTTCCAATATCGGGCTCAGAACCCGAGGTAAGGTAGTTTCACAATGAGCGATTTTAAGTCGTGAGGGATTTTTTTTTGCGATCGCTGTTGTATTAATGTCGGGAACAGTTTCCCAAATGTAGTTATACTGTATATAAATATAGTTTTTAGGGTACCTTTCGTAAATGGTCTGTTAAGTTATATAGTGGGGAATTCTTGAGGATGAATTTCTGGCTTGAAATTTATCGGAAAGGGATTTCGGCCATTTTGGACGGCTGACGTATTTTTTTATTCAGTGGGTGTTGAATCACGAGAAAGACGAATTTTGCGTCGAAGTAGAATTTTGTTAATATTTAGCCCCATCGGCTTACCTAATTAAAGGGGATTTTAGATTCTACTTCATGGTTAATTGTGGGTAAATGGACATTTCGTATTTTGAGAGGAATTTTAGTGTATTGGTAAATTCCTATGGTCATTGGTCCAGCCCATATCTATTATAGGATTTTAACGCAATAATTGGAAGTTCACAGCATTTGGAGTGTGGAATATTGTTGTGCTGTGGATCATCTCACGTGTTTCTCATCCTTGGAAGGCTACCAAGTTAACCCTTTACGAAAAAGGGTTTCACCCAGGGGGTTGTTAACCCAGGATTCGACGACAGTTTCACCCAGGGGGTTGATAACCAAGGATTCGATGACATTTTCACCCAGGGGGTAGCGACTCAGGATTTCAACAGTTGTACACAGAGGGTTATATCGTCCGGAGTTCAACGGTTTCATCGTGGACTCATCGAGGGAACACAGAACATTGGTATGCTAGCCGCCTAGCTTACTTGTAGCTAGATTTACAAATGTTGTTAAGGTATTCTCAACATTATTTATACTTTTGAGCACAGAATGTTCTAGAGTTCTTTCACTCATAACTTATGTATTATCAAATATTACATCGTTTAATTGATTAATATTTTGAAACTTTTTCTTAATTTAAGCACTTAATGCTGATGTAGTAATCCTTCGGGTCGCAGAACACTTGGACTGCTTCCACGTTTAAGTTGTAATTCTTCAGTTATTAAGGGCTACTGTCACAATTTTACTTTTTCAATTTATTCATTATTAAATGGACAAGACTTAACGTATAAGTTAAGCAATCTCAGAAGACCCGTGTGGGGGCAGAGATTAAGTAACCTCTTCCAACCTGGGAGTTTAAGTAAATATCCTCTGTGTCTAAAGTCCTTTATATGTTCATTGTATTTTTATTTTTTTTTGATATTTTTATTTAGTTGTATGAATTATACTTAATTATAAAATTTCATGGTTTAATAATTTTCTTTTGGGTAGTTTGGTCTTAACCAAAAGTTAAGCAAATATCGCCTTCCAATTTGGAGAGGGTTATAAGCTTATAAGGATTATAAGTTTACTGTTTAGTTTATAATATATGATGTAGTATAGGTGCGGTTATGCACAAGATTTGAGTTAACTATTATTTTATATTTTATGTAAGGTGGAAATTAATATTTTGCGCAAGCGTCATGCCTGGTACCAAGCTAACGACGAACCGTGCCATATTTTGATACATTTAATAATTTATTTTGGGTTATGCATATACATATATGGTGTAAACTTTCCCTTTAATTTCCTCCAACTTATTTTTTTTTTTTGGGATTATCTAAAGCCATTAGGTAATTAATTAGTTTTAGTAGTTTGTCGAACTCATAATAAATTGTTGAAATTTAAAGTTGATATATTTAGTAAATATTTTTCCTTTTTTTTATTATAAAGGAACATAAGTTGAGGTTTGTCTTTTATTTCTTTCCTCATTTACTGGGTTTTTGGGGAAATAGGATCATAGTTTGGCCACTATATAGACCCAGTTGGCGCCTACTCATTTGTCTACTATTTCCGGAATTCTTGTAAGCTATCCACCCCCTAGCTGCCGTCTGAGCGACGTCGAAGGTCCAAAGGTTGACACCGGAACAGCCGAAACTTGTGTAACCGTAGTAGACAACATTTTTAATTGTAGTTGATACTTTAATAATTTTTTTTTAAGTTTAAAATTTTGGTGGAATCACCGAGTTCATTTGGTAGGTTACATAAATCCTTTTAAACGACACATTAAAGCTGCTTTTATACAACGATTACTTTTCTCTATAATTCCATTGGCCTGAGGATGATAAGATGTAGTATGGCGAAGTTCGATGCCAAGTAAATTTGACATGTCTTTAAATAAATTAGACCTGAAATTTTTACCTCTATTTGTCACTATGATGACAGGTGTACCAAAACGTAAAATCCATCCATCAATAAATGTTTGTGCCACAGTCTTAGGCCACAGTTTCAGCCTTTTGGTTTGGCATTGGGAATGCTTCACACCAACGTGTGAATCGATCGATACATGTTAAAAGATAAATATTATTATTCGATGGAGGTAGAGGACCAACTACGTCTATATGGACGTGCGCAAAACGTTCATCTGGTTGCGAAAAGTTTTGTAATGGAGTTTTCTCGTGACGGTTGATTTTTGATAGTTGACAATCGTTGGTTGCATTCTCGAACCCATACTTTAATATCTTTTCTCATTGATTGCCACACAAAACGGTCAGCGATGAAATGTGAGGTAGACCTTCCACCTGGATGTGAAATTTTTCAAAAACATGCATACGAAAACTTTTTGGAATATAAGGACGAATTCTGATATTATAACTGTCACAGTATATAAAGGGTGTCTCAGAAACTACGTTTTTTTTGTGCGAACACACTTTTACTAATGTTTATAGATAAACCTATCTTTGCTATGTTACTAAGGACTTCTTCGATATGTTTTAGATGAGATTCATAGGAGTCAAAAAAAATTAAAACATCATCGATATACACAAAGACAAATGGAAAACTACTGAATAGATTGTCCATGAACCGTTGAAACGTCTGTGCAGCATTTCGCAAGCCAAAGGGCATTTTAAGAAATTTGAATTAACCAAATGGTGTCGTAACGTCTGTCTTAGGAACTGAGTCGGGGGGTGTACCGGTATTTGTGTAAGCTTTTGTCAAATCAATTTTTTTACCATGAAGATATGATGAAATGTCTTGTATGTTGTGTAAGGGATATTTGTCGGGAATTGTTTGAGAGTTCAACATTCGATAGTCACCGCATGGTCTCCAGTCGCCATTTTTCGTTGTTACAAGATGAAGTGGACTATTTGGTGGTCGAAATATCCCTTCTTTGATCATGAAATCGAATTCTGTCTTCGCAGCTGCTAATTTGTGGTCTTGAAAAGCACGGATGCGTTTTGGTTAAAATTTGGTGATATGCATCTTCGGCAAAATTTTCCGATGTATACTTCACAGATGAATTGTACTTGGTTATAAGATTTGATACGTTAGGGTCTAAATCTGAATAGATGCTTTTGGAATTGAAACGTTAGCTATTGTAAATATAGAGGAAAATTGACGGCGTAGTCCTAAGTCTAGAGTTAGTAAACGTTGACCATATGTATTTATGATACTATTGTTTGCGGCATATAAAATTACGGATGATTTATTTTTCGTTTGGTTTGGTTTGGTTTGGTAGGAGGCACGAGTGACAAATGCGCACCTGTATCTATTAAAAATAAAATGCCAGTATGTTTGTCTTGTACTTGAAGACGGTTGGATTTTTCGGACCCCCTCATTCACCGCTAATGTGAGGTCTTGGTCTAGTTTTCCGGATTTAAAGAAATAGAGGGTTTAAAACTACATGGAGCTAGTAAAATTCTAAAACTAAGAGAAGTAATACAATTTATTAAACATAAACAAATAGTATCATTTAAATTATAAACATTGCGTATGTAAATAAAACATTTCTAATTAAAAATGTTTTATTGGAAACCTTTTGCTTGATATTATGTGCAATATTTTATATGTTGTGTAGTTTGTGCCAATTAAATTTCTTCTTTTTTTTTCTGTGTGGCCTCTTTCTTGATGTTCCAATGGTAACTTTTGATCAATGAATTTAAATAGAATTCCAAAGTGTTCACTTCTGTGTTATTATTGAGAGTTCCAAAACAAGAATAATAATAATAACAACAACAACAACAACAACCTAATTGACTAGACTAAATTTGTTTACTTGTTATTTCCATATTATTTTCTAGAATTTTTTTACCAATGCGAAGAGTGTGTAACAAAAACGGATTCCCTAAAAAATAAAATGATTATTAGGTATCAACCAATTAGTTTTTGTTTTTGTTCCATTAAATAGTACAAAAAATGCATATAAAGATTTTATAGAAAATAAATATAATTTTCTCCAAAAAATTGTTTTTTCGTCTCGTTCTAGAAATGTTCCGATCTATCCTCGTATATACCTACTTTTAGCAAAAGGGGAAAACCTAATTCCGATAATCCATAGCAGCTTATTTCAAAAGGTGTTTTTGATGCGTTTAATAACATTTGCAGAATGCTTCGATTCCTCTTATCCCAATAATACCAGGGACATCTTGTCAATTCGCTGTAGAAATTTTCACACTACAATATTAAAAGTGTAAATGAATATTTTATTAAGTTTACTATACTGTTCTTTTTAAACTAAGAGGAGCGATTTGAATTTTCCGCGCCTGAACTTTAGCTTCTGATTGTTTTTTTGACACATAGACCAAAGTGTCCAATACTGGCATTTCTTAATCAATGATTTGGTATATCACTGTCGATAATTTTAAAAATTTAAAAGTTTACTGTTTTTTGTGTTGTAATCTTTCTATTAGCTACATACATTTTAACCAAGCATATTCCGTTTAATCGTCTTATTTTTAATTAGGGAATTTTTAGTTTCGTTTTGTCCCATTCTTAATGAGACACGTATAATATATCAAGTAATTACCTCATACTACCATATTACGGATAGAAGCAAGAACTATTAAAAATATCATCACAAATCGCTATCGCGATAAAAACCTACTTTCCTGTTATGAAAATTGAGAACTGTTGTAGTATTGCAAACCCTCGAAAGAAACGAGAAAAATGTTTCTGTAAAATTGTAACGATTTGTATTGATGTTTGATGCTATGCTAATATTTTAATTAATTTGCATGCTGTAAATCTTAGAATAAAAGAGTATTCAGAATGTGTTAGTATATTGGGTTTGTTTCTATAATGAATAAAATTGCTAGTAGGAATCAAAATAAATCATACATGCCAACATAATTTAATAATGTTACTAACTGTAGAATTATTTTGAATTGTAAAAAAATGTATTGTAATCAATCAAAAAAATGGACAAACCAAAACTTATGTGCAGTTCATATAAGCACAAATAGTATATTGCTTACCAAGTAGGAAAAGTCTAACATTCCTGGACGACTGTGAAGATTGCTAAGACGAGGCGCAAGCCGAGACTTAGCAACACAGAGTCCAGGAATGTGGCTTTTCCTACGAGATAAACATACTATTTTGGCGCAAATCGTTTAAAATTCGATAGATATTAATTAATTTTAAAAAAATCGCGAATAATTTTATTCAAAAATAAATGGAGCTTTGAAATTCGTAATAAAACTGGTTGCGTTACTATGGAAACGTATTAATGTTGAATTGTCAAACTAAAGAAAAAGTCAAGATTTCCTAACAGTTAAGAAATCTTGATTTTTCTTTAAGAAATTTTGCTTGGAATGACAAAATTTTCTATGGATTTGCGGAAAACACATTTAAAAGTTTTACTGGAGTTGCTTCGAATGATGTAGTGTCAAAATGCGAGTAAATTATGCCCTGGCTCTGTATCTGATAAAAAAAATTGTAAAATATTATGGTATTTTGGACCAATTAGTACCAGGAGATCTAGTTATTGCTGACAAAGGTTTTTTGATTTCAAATGTGCTTTTTTCGGATATTAACTTAAATATACCCCCGTTTATACAACATGGGTTGCCTAATTTAATTAAATTAATAATCAATATTATTTGTTCGTATTTCTAGGCGATCCTGATTTTACCACATTAAAAAAAGAAACGGCAATAATTAACTTTTACGAAATTACAAATTTCCACTTACCGCATCTGATATCATTTGTCCATAATAATTCACAACGAAATGTTCACTTCCTGCGATTACTAAAACTCCATACATAATAACATTAAATGTTGGATTGACATTCTAAAAAAGAATTTAACACGATAATACATCAACCAATGACAATCTTCTTTTTTCCAATACACGCAAATCAAAACAAACCTTATCTGAAAACACTGAGTATTGCTATGTTTTTACCATAGCCCTCAGAAAGTCTAGATACTGCTTGTCGTATTCTGTCAATTAGGCATTCCAAACTGAATGACTACCAGTGGGTTTTGACAGGTTATGATGTGGCAAAGTTATGGCAACTCTGTAGGCCTGATGATTTGACAAAGTGAGTGAAATAGATAGTTACATAGATTAATCATCCCTATTTTTTAAAATAAACATAAGCTTATGCCTTGAAGTAAACATATAAGCAATTATTATTTTTTAAACATCTAAAGTTTGAAAATTGGTTTTAAAACACATTTTTGCCAAACTGATTCAAATTAATAAATATTTGCCAGGCAATATGGCTCCTCGCAAATGGCCAGCTTTGAGCAATGTATATAACATATATGTATCATTGACCCTGTTAATGACAACATGACAACAGGGTTGCCATATCTAATCTGTCAGTACCCACTGGTAGCCATTTGGACAGGTCGTTGGAATCTTTACTCTGAGGTTGGAATGCCTAATACAAAAAAATTAACCTATTCATGCTGGCCGCCATGATGGGTAGATTATGCTACACTGATTTTTAGTTTGTGTGTTCTGTAATACGTGAACACCGATAATCTGCATTTTGTTATTAGTTATAAGTGAGTGAATGGGCCCGTTCACTTTCATTTTTGAATGTGAATTATTTATATATTTATAAAGATATTAAACTCTTTTGTCTGGTGGTACTTTTCCCGTTAAGATATTTTTGCTAGAAGTAAGGGAATTCCCATAAAATTCTTTCAGTGACTCATTGCGTCAGAAAACCCCGAATTCCCTTCAGGTCTTGTATCGGTTAATAGTTAAAAGGGCGCGGTTGTCGGATGTATCATTGCACCACCATTCCTCTTCTGCATTTATTAAAGAAATTTACATGATAAAAATATATTATTTTTTAAAAATAATGTGTTTATATTTTCAGATAAAGCTGGAAGCCTTACCTTTTTTAAATTTTAATAAAAACAATTAGTATTACTCAAGCTGAATATTACCAGATCGAAATTTTATTTGAGAAAATGTATCTGGTAAACGTGACAACGTTGTAAGTACTTCTAAATAGTGTTGTCTACCCACACTTCTAGAAATAAATGCAACGTTGCCACGTTTACCAGATAAATATTGCAAATCAAATGTCTACTTTTTGATTATGGTCTGGGGCCCTATCCTCGGCTATCGTTTTCTAAAAAACGTATACGCTTTAGCAACATACGAGCTATTCGCTATTCTCGACATTCGTTTTAAAAGCGTGTACGCTTTTAAAACGGGTGTTTTACAGCGAGCGGAATTTTTTACACGTTTTTGATAAAACGTGCATGTTTTCAAGAATTTAGTCAATGTCACTTATGTGTCACTTTTAAGACGATTAATAATATTGATTGATTTTAACAAATTCTAGGTAAACTACTTTTTATTAATACCTACAAAAGTATCAAATTTCTTATAAATATGGTTTGCTGTACTAAAGAAGTAGATTAGATGAGAATTTCTTTCAATTATATTATCAATAATTGTACAATTAGAAAACTTAGAAGATAAGAATCCTTAAAGATTCAGACTTGCAGAGGCAGAATCCAGTTTTTGATTTTAACTGATATTGAGTGAATATTTTTTGTATCTTACCGTGTAAGAATTTAATTATTAATTCATGTATGTTTTATTTACAAATGTTAATTTGCTTGCGGTTCAAACTCTTCTGTATCACACGTTGTGTCCAGAAATTTTTACAATTTTGTAAAATTGCCACAAAATATTAAAGAACTGAATAAGATAAGCAAAGTTATTAGTTAAATGAATTTTTTACCATAAAAACTAGGTTTTTATGACGTACGATTTTCCTAGAATTATAGGTTGCATTAACTGCACCCGTATAGCTATTTTTACGCCAACAATTAACGATTCAGATTATCCCGAACATCGATATATATTATGTGATTAGAAAAAATCATCGTTCGACAAATTTACAATTGGTTTGTTGTAATTAAATTACATAATCCTTATTCTTTTATGGCCTGCACATTACTTGAATTCAACGATATAGACAGTTTACAGTGATGCCAGACATATTATTTGCTTGTTTAAAACGTACACGTCTTAAAAAACGAATACTCATCGAACGTCAGTCAAGAATATAGATTTCAAAAACTACTCGCTTTTCAACCACTCACTTTCGAAAACGGTTCGTTTTTTTAGCGATTGTCGAGGATAGCCGCCCTGGTTAATTTTCAGCCTGAGTAATAATAATTATTGTTTTAATTAAAAAGTAAAAAATAAGCTCCCAGCTTTAAATCTGAAAATATAAGTTCATGATTTTTAGAAAAATAATGGAATTTTACTATTTAAATTACATATATAAATGCAGAAATGCTATAATAGGGATACTTCCGACAACCTCGCCGTCTTTAAGCATAACCGATACGAGACGTGAACGGAATTAGGGATTTTCTGACGCAATGAGTCACTGAAAGAATTTTATGGGAATTCCCTTACTTCTAGCAAAAATATCTTAACGGGAAAAGTACCACCAGACAAAAGAGTTTAATATCTTTATAAATATATAATTAATTCACATTCAAAAATGAAAGTGAACGGGCCCATTTCCAATTTCAAATTAGGAACAAAACTTTGACAAACCTATTTGATTTTCCTGGATCTGTTCAGACAGGACCGGCTTTACAAATTTTCTCGTTCTTGAAATGTTATTTTCACATGGTTATATGTACATTGGATAAGTGTACTGTATACATATTGCTATAAGAATTATAGAGAAATTCAATGAGATTTATGTAATATAATTCAATTTACAAGTAAACCATTTGTTGCTGTTGAGCAATATGGAGACAATACCTACATTCATTGTCAAATGTACTATTTAAAAGGATGTGATTGTTAACCGGTCATCCATTTATATTATAATATGACAATGAAAACAAACTTTATAATTAGGGAAAGATATACTTACATCGGTAACAAGGTATTTTTAGAAAAACTGTTAGATTAGTCTATTCTTATAGTTTATTTGAAAATTAATGATAGCGAAAATTATATAAAAATTTCCATAAAAATTGTGCTATCATGCATTTTCATATAAACTTTAGTGATAATTTGATTTAATAGAGAGAGTGTAAGATCACACATGTTAGAGAAATTGGGGCATAAGCAAGAGATTATGAAGCAGGTAGGCAAAGTCATTGCTGAAGATAAATATATAGGAGTTATTTTAAAAGTTTGATAAAAAAACTAGTGGAAACAACAAATGCAGTTATCGCTATGGGAGATCCAATCAGCAAAAAGTAAAAAAAAGCTTTGGGAATGTTGAAAAAGGGCAGAACAATAAACCCGAAACAATTCCATGATTTTTTAATAATTATAATATTGTGAGATGCAAAAAATACTGCCCGAGTGGAGAAGCAGTATATCTCCAATATAGAAAACCCAGTGATATACAGCAATGCACCAACAACTTCTACCAACAAGATTGCGACTGCGGACTGCCACAGGTGAAAGTGCTAACATCCATGGGGAAATCCAGGTTCAATTGGGAATTGGTACAGAAAAGTTCACTCATACTGTTTTTGTCGCTGATATCGAAGAAGATGTTATTCTTGGAATGGATGTAATGAGCTTACATGGTTTCCAGTTGGACTTTAGGAACAGAGTAATCAAAGTTGGTGCCGAAGAAGTATTCCTACATCCATATGGGGACAGTATCGTGCCAGTTGCTGTACAGGAGGAAACGGTGGTACCTGGCTGAAGTGAAACCGTTATAGTAGCACGGCTTCAAGAAACTATGGAAGAAGGAACACCTGTCATGATAGAACCTTGGAACCACGATGAAGAGGTTGGACGAGGTATTCTGATCTCATAAACGTTAATGATCACCCGATTACCATCAAGAAAGAGATCAGAATCGGAACTTCCATAATTCGTCAGACAATGAATTCTCATAATTTCAATGACAAATTCGAACAAATGATTGCAGTTGCTGGTCAATCTCTGAATCATATAAAGAAGAAAAAAATAAAGGAATTTCTTCGACGATATCGTGACATTTTTGTACCAAACCGGAAAAACAGGAAGAACTTCTTTTGTAAAACACAAAATTAACACTGGAAACGCCAGGCCGATTCGTCAATCAGCTCGAAGGTTACCAAAGGCCAAGAAAGAGGAAGCTAAAAGTATTGTTTAGGAAGTGATGGAAGACAGGGTGATAGAACCTTCTACCAACCCATGGGTCTCTCCGGTAGTCCTGGTCCAGAAAAAGGAACTACGGGGTTCTGTGTGAATTACCGTCAGTTGAACAATGTTACCAAGAAAGACAGTTACCCTCTGCCTCGTATCGACGATACCAAAGAGTATAGTTAACACAAGAGATCGCACTGATATATCAATCGATCTGAAAGACTGTGACCTTGAAAATTGAAAATATTTTACAAGGGTAAATGTATCTAATTTAATATAACCTAGCTTTCTGATCATTTATCTTTTTGGTTCAAACATTTATTTATGATCTAATTTTGTTATAGATCTGTATTTTTTAATACAAATTACGTCATGAAGGTTTATGCAGTGAAAACCTGCAAAAATACTTATCAATTTTCTAGATGTCATTTTTCTTATGTGACAGCAACCAACTCTCCGATTGGTGAGGCCAGACTTGTCAAAAATACTCTAGGCCAATAGGGAGGAGGCATCGACGTCAACATTATTTTAAAAACCAGAAAACATAAATTTTGTAATAAACACACTAATTTAAAATCTGAATATATTTTACTTTTTGATGTCATTTTTTTCCATGTGACAGCAACCAACGTGCTGATTGGTGACCCCAGATTTGTCAAAAATACCCCAGACCAATAGGGAAGAGGTGCCGAGGTCATTGCGATTTGAGCCAGAATTTAACATGGGAAGTATAGGGAGTGACAGCCTGTGACGATACCTTGGACACTTTGGTCGGAAGTAAACTATTCTCTACCTTAGACTTGAAGTCTGGATACTGGCAGGTCGAAA